GGTTTATTAGTCTATCAATCACAGTGTTTGTACAAACATAATCCAATTGCCTCAGGTAAGTACCCACAAAAAGAATGAAGCCAACAGGACCTATGGTTGCTGAGATATTGCTTTTGCAGTGGAGGAAGGTAAAACCTAGGGAGGGGTGTCAGAAGTCCGAGTCTGGGGCAGGTTGATTAGATGCCAACGAGATTAATCTGGGGCGAGATAAAGAGAAGCGCCCATTAGATAAGATTAGCAAGTTGGTAGTTGGTAGTTGATCGTGAAACTGCGCGCGACCTAAGTACGACCTCAGTCCGACCTCAGTTAGCCGAGGTTTCACTATCAACTATCAACTTTCACTTGCAGCTTGCAACTCGCCAGGGGGATCTGGCCGCATTTTCAAGGATTTCGAAAGGCGCCTGCCTTATATGGTCATTAGGCGCCCACGAAAGTTGCGAGTTGCGAGTTGCATATAGAAGTAAATATTTTTTATACAAATCGATCGTCATACTCCCCCTCTGTACGGGTTTCTTACCCTTACAGCAGTTGCCATCTTTCTACGTCTTACTTCTTGTCGTTGTCATGCTTTATACCTTGGTTTCGTTTGTGGTCGCCTTCCTCACGCTTGGGGGTAGCGTGGGAAAAACGTTCGTGATGGTGGTAGCAGATCAAGGGGCCCCCCCGCGCTGTGTCTCTTTCCCTTCGTCCCATCTGCAGCCGGCCGCCACTTGGTATGTGCACAGCACTCTGAAGCATACACATGCTTATTTTGATGTCTTATGCTCTTAGAACATGAACTTCCTCAACCTTGCCCCTCGTCAGTTCCGACGCGCCGGTCTTGCGCTTCCTTCTGGCAGCTCGCGATGGCAGCAGTGCCAGCGAGTTACCGCGTTTTCACCTCGAATCATCAAGCGCGGCTTTGCAGAAGTCAAACAGGACGTGCCAAAACCCAAGCCGAAAGCATCGACCGCTCTCCGCAGAGCAGCGTCTGCGTCCCTTCCCATCCGTTCTAACCCGAACCCCACCCGGAGCGACATCCAGCCCATCTTCACCTACGCGACCGCGGAACGCTATCTCATGCAGAATCTGCGGGGCTCATTACCTAAAGGTGCGGTGTCGCTGCATGATGCGTGGTGGGTGCCAAAGTGGACGGACAGCCAGACCGGGAAGGACGGCGAGGTCTTCCTCTTCGCAAACGGGAGCTTCGTCTGCTGGGGTCTGGGTGAAGATGAGGCGCAGCGCTTCGCGCAGGAAGTGCTGGCGCACTCGGGTGCGGAGCTCGCGCCGCTCAAGGAGGCCGAGACTGAAGACCTGGAGTTCGTCACCGATCCCGAAGAGTGAGTCTGCCGAGGTAGCGCTATGCCGAGTGTCTAACTCGTTTGCAGAGACACGCGGTTACAAGGTGATCTGATCGTACTTGGACGACAGCCCCCTCTGAGCAGTGAGGACACCATACCAATGGACCTGCCTCAGTCGGTGCTGCCTCGCGAAACCGTGTTTGCTCGCTATGCATTCTCCCAAGCGCTTTCTCGGTCGACCGCGCTCTCTGTGCTCGAGTCCTCCTTGGAAGAATACCTCACCTCTGTCGCTCCTCTCCCTCGGGCCCTTCAAAAGACGGGCAAACCTGGCCTGGGTCGTAGAGCGCTCGTCATGAAACTTGGGGAACTGCTTCGCTTCCGCCAAGGTCTGAACCTCAACCGCGAAAACTTCTCTGACACACCCGATTTCTACTGGTCTGAGCCTGCGCTCGAGGGTACGCAACCTTAGTATGCGAGGGAGGCTCTACTCTGACTGGCTGAGTGCAGCTTACTTCAACTCGTTGAGCAATGCGCTCGAAATCCGGACCCGGACGCGATCCGTAAACGACAAAATTACCTACGCTGCTGAGGTATGTCAAATCGACACGGAGGCATTACGAATGCTTATTCTTGTACAGATGCAATCTGTGCTGCGAGAGCTATTGACGGAGGTGTGTATATGCCTAGTTTCGCGGTGTTCACGTAGTGCTCAACTGCATACAGACGTCGGCACATCGCATGGAGCTCATCATCATTGCACTTATTGCGGTCGAAGTCGTCATTGTGCGTACCGCCAAGCCCCACGTTGAGTCGATGTAGTGCTAATGACCTGCAGTGCCTTATCCGGGACGGCCCCGAGCTCTGGGAAATGGTCTTCGGCAAAGAGGAGGAAACCCCGTCTCCTGAAGCTCAATAAAAGACACGATACGTCGGCTGAAGCATGATTTACTCTACTCCTTGGTAATACCTCGCTTTCTACGCTCTGCTCAATCACATATCTAGCACACCTATCTCACCGCTCTAACCTCCTGTAGAGGAATCATAATATATGGCACTACGTATAGTGGTGCAGCTCTCAGCCATCTGCTCTTCTTGTTTGCGAAGACGGAAGCACGGAGGACATGCAGGGTACGTCTCGCATGGCTTGATTTGTTCGAGTCTAAGCTCATCTGGCTCTTCTAGTCGCCGCACAGTTCTGCCAATGAGTGAGTGAACTCTTTCAAAGGCACTACGCACACGGCAAGTGCGGTTTTGTAAGCTTCGGTTAACTGCCATCAACAAACTCGGGGGCGGAGTCGCGAGGTCAGTAGCTCGCGATCTGATCAAATGCAGCATCCGTTTCTCTACGGGAACCTCGGAGTCCGCGGCACTATCATACCCAGTCGGTCAGACTCTTGATAGCGAGCCTTGCGCCGCATTCGCTCAGTCAAGCCTCAAAGGTATCTCTGTTTCAAATCGACGACATATGTCCGTACTTGCGAAGTACGATATATGCGCCCGCGAGCTCGCAATATGTCTACATGATCGTGTAAGGGGAACCATGCGCACGACCATAACGCGACATGGTGTTGCCGGGTCGACGCGTACCATATCCAAGGGGCTCGGCACTCAATTGGGCCTAGGATTACCGACGTCGGCGGTAGCGTGTGCAACCAGCTATAAACGCCGACGTCGGGCGCAGCAACCTTCACACAGTCTTTATATCTTCTCCACGCCCACCTTTCGCAGTTCAAACGCTCAAACGTTCGAGCACAGCAGTCATGACATCGGTACGTTGCGTGCTGTCTTCTCAGCTACCCTGAATGGCATCGGTTGACGTCTTTATGTGCAGGCAGCAACAGCAAAGCCAGTACTCCGTTTCGGTATACTGGGTGCTGCTAGGATAGCACCTGAGGCACTGCTGAACCCCGCAAAGACGCATCCTGAAGTCTCCATCACTGCTGTGGCATGCAGGGACCAGAAGAGGGGCGTGCAGTTTGCGCGGAAACACAACATACCGAAGACGTTTACGGGTCCGAAAGCTTACCAAGGTATGATGCCCGGATATCAACGTGTCCGGCAGATGGAGCCTGACCGGAAGTCAATTTGGATTAGACCTGATCGCAGACCCGGACATCGATGCGGTGTACAACCCGGTGCGTTCGAGCTTACGGGCTGCTGTCGTTGCCAGGTTTCTAACGAGGTCGCGTTCGTAGTTGCCGAATAGTTTGCACTTCGAATGGTCGATGCGCGCTCTGCTGGCCGGGAAGCATGTACTTCTTGAGAAGCCGTTCACTGATACCGCCGAGGAGGCGCGCCAGCTCTTTGCGTTGGCCGAGGAGAAAGGTCTCGTCATCCTGGAGGCTATGCACGCAACGTTCGTGATAGCTAAAACATATCGAGTGTGTCCGACAAACTGCTTAAACTAACTCGTGGCCCCGTACTATAGATTTCACCCCGCGATGCGGCGCGTGCGGGAGCTCGTCGCAAGCGGTGAACTCGGGAAAGTGAAGAGCGTGCAGGCGACGCTCGCCCTGCCCTACTGGGCGTCCCGCTTCCTCTTCCTGAAGGACGACGTGCGCTTCCAGTACGATCTCGGGGGCGGCGCAACCATGGACATGGGAGGTACGCATCGCGCTCTCCAGCCTCCCGCACCGCCGCCAGCGTCGCTGATGGTATCCCCACCGCAGTCTACCCTCTAGCGGCCATCCGGTGCGTCACAGGAGCGGACATATCTGCGCCCGCGGTGACGTCCGCGACCGCGATCGGACACGCCTACGACCCAGCGCGCATCGACCGCAGGATGCACGCGACGTATGCGCTCCCGGACTCGGTGACGGCCGAGTCGACCGCGGACTCCGGGACGCCCGGATGGGGCCCGTTCGGGCTGCTCCCGAGCGCGATCGACATCAACCTGAAGGTGTCGCTGGAGGGCGGGGAGATCAGCCTGTTCAACTTCGTCGCGCCGGGCTTCTACCACAGCATCAAGGTCAGGCCGAAGCGCGGGGCGGCGCGCACGGAGAAGGCGTACACGTATGCCGACGGCAGGGGCGACAAGTCGTGGTCTACGTGCGTGTTTCCTGGCTGCATCATATGCAGCGCTCGGGGGTTGATCGCAGACACGCTGTGACTGTCATGAACAGCTATCGTTACCAGCTTCAGGCGTTCGTGGACAAGGTACAGGGCAGGACGCCGTGGGAGTGGATCGAGCCAGAGACCAGCATCACGACAATGGAGACCCTGGAGAGGGTCTATGCCGCGGTGAGCATTGCAAATCCCTTTGCTCAGGATAATTGACTTATGATGTTTCCACGCCATGTGCAGGCGGGATTGCCGCCGCGCGTTGCCTCCTCATACAAGCCTGAAACTGCGTCGCCCGCGGGCAGTCCGCCGAGCGGTGATGCTGCTTAGCACCGGGCTACGCTTGCTACCACCTTTCTATCGGCATGATGCGGCACTTCTCGGCGCCCACAACTGGTCCGCATTGCGACAGGAGTGCCCGGCGGCTCGCCGGGCCAAACATCTTGCTCTGGCTGCTGCGGCGCTCTTGCACCCGGACCCGATCGGATTGTCGTATATAGGTATGCGATATGCCAGTTTTGACCAATTCTAAGCATTGGTATTGCCACGAGGACTTTCATATGCGAGGATATACGTTGATGGGTGCACCTTTACGAAGGTCGTTGATCTCCAGAGACGTTGTCAACCGAACCACGTTCAGCACACACAACTCCAATGGACCCGATCCCGGGAGGGACGTCGCCAAGCCACAGTGATTGAGCGGCCGAAACGCTGACGTTAATCTCCGATGATAGCGATTCAAGGACTTGACAACGTTACAGCGTCATGTAAGGTTGTGGAGCACCTTCTTCAGGCCGAGCGGGCGGCGACCCTCTACCTGTGCACTTTTACACCCCGCCGTGTGTAGATGCACGCAGAGCTGCTTGAAGCACCTGGAACACCGCAATGCGCCGCTAATAGACGCGAGTTTCTCATATTTATGGCACCCCGGTTCACCCTCCGGTCCTGTTCAACGCTGCCCCCTCTTTCGCGAACAGCCCGTAAGCTGCTTTCAAAATGACTTCGGTGAGCGTCATACCCTCTATTTGTCGATGTCGCAAGTCCTGACGACCACGAAGGTCCCATCCCCGCTGCTAGACCAGACCCAGTCGCCTCTCCGCTTCGGAATACTGGGTGCTGCCCGCATCGGCCCTGATGCCTTGTTCACGCCCGCCAAAACGCATCCCGAGGTCGCGGTCGTGGCCGTCGCGTGCAGAGACGAAGCGAGAGGCTCGAAGTATGCCCGGCAACATCACATATCCAAGGTCCACTCTGGACCGCAAGCGTACCATGGTCGGTTTTGACTTTTCGAGGTATTGCCTATCTACTGACGGTAACCATGACCCATGTAGACCTCGTCGCAGACCCCGACATCGACGTGGTGTACATCCCCGTACGCATTCCTTGGAAGGAGTAGCTCACCTTCGTCCGATGCTGACAGCGTCGTCCAGCTGCCGGTCAGCATGCACTTCGAATGGTCAATGCGCGCGCTGCACGCCGACAAGCACGTCCTCGTCGAGAAGCCGATGACAAGCAATGCCGACGAAGCCCGTCAGATCTTCGCTCTCGCGGAACAGTAAGGCCTCGTCGTGCTCGAGGCCATCCACTGCACGTTCGTACCCTCTTCCCCTTTACTTCCCCCAGCGGCGACGCCACCCGCGATCGTCCGCAGGGCGGTCGTGGCCGAACGATAGCTGACTAGTGATCCGCAGATTCCACCCGGTCCTCCAGCGCGTGCGCGAGATCGTGCGGAGCGGCGAGCTCGGGCGCGTCAAGAGCGTGCGCGCCGCGTTCGCATGGCCGAGCGTCGTTGCACATTTCCTCTTCCCCAGGGACGACATCCACTTCAACTACGAGATGGGCGGGGGCTGCATGATGGACATGGGAGGTGCGTACGGCGCCCTGCGCCTCACACCTATCCCCGCGCTGATCATGCTGCTACGACTACGATCGCAGTCTACCCTCTGACCGCGGTCCGGTACGTCACCGGGGCAGACACGGCGGCGCTCGAGGTCACATCCGCGACTGCGGTCGGGCACGTGAGCGACCCCGCGCGCATCGACCGCGCGATGCACGCTACGTATGCGCTGCCCGACTCGGTCACCGCGGAGACGTTCGCGGACCTGTCTGCGCCCGGATGGGGGCCATTCGGGCTCATCCCGCGTTGGCCGCAGATTGGGCTCTCGGTCGCGTTGGAGGGCGGGGACGTCGAGGTGTTCAACCCGCTCGATCCGGGCGTGTACCACCACATCAGGGTGAAGCCGAAGCGCGGACAGAGCAGGACGGAAAAGCACTATCGCTATGCGGACGGACGGGGCGAGAAGAACTGGCATTCGTGAGTGTTGAGCGCATATGCGGGGGGTGCGGATCGCTGATTGTTTGTCGTGTTGATATGCTAGGTATACCTTCCAGCTCCATGCCTTTGTGGACAAGGTACGAGGGAGGACGCCGTGGGCGTGGACGGAACCAACGACGACCATTACTGCGATAGAGACCATGGAGCAAATTTATGCGAAGGTCAGGAACCTATTACTTGGTTGTTCCATACTTGGCTGACTTTGATTTTGGGTACGTTTGGATAGGCTGGCCTCCCTCCTCGCGTTGCTTCTACATACAAGCCCGAGGCGTCCCAGGAGCAGTAGTCTGCTGTATACGCTCGTCTAATGAAAACCGGATTGCAGGGCTAAATGTCGACTCCATACTGCTTATAAGGCATGAAAGGAGGAAGAAGTACGGACACCGAGACTGCTGCCAGTAGATCTGAAGTAGTAGGTGCTAAAGCGAAGTATGAAGATGTGTACACTAGCTATAGCTATAGTATAACTCGCCTGATTACGATATCATTATGTGTACGTCCATGGGCTTTGAGCCGTGCTATAGTGGCTTCTTTGGTTTCTCAGAAAGCACTGCTTTTATGTACGGCGGTACTAAGCGATCCCGCATGTTAAACTTGGGACCTACAAGTCACCCACTTGAACGCGATCCTTCCGCGCAAGGCTGGTGTCCTCCTCTGTCAGAGTGGTGAGATGATATCCCCGCGGTATCTGCCCCTCGGCCCCCGCACTGTCATTCTCGTCGTCGAGTGAAAGACACCGCCAAGTGGTCAGAACGGGAGTAGAGTAGCCGAGGCCCGGTGAACGCGCCTCGAAGGCGGGGGTCGTGAGCAGGTCGCGATCGGCCCTCGGGCGCAGGGCCTGTGCTGACTGAGGCAGCGTGCTCAGTTCTCCCAGCAGCTGCCATCGCCTCAGCAGAAGCCAGAAGGCACATGCATCGCGCCCCCGCCCCCCTGGCTCATCGATATATTTCTCGTGCCACACTTAGTCCGCGCCCGTCCGCTCTCGCACGCCCGCACCACTATCTTGCGCTCTCCCACCACCTCGCACGCTCATCCGCACGCTCGCCGACGCGTCTTATCCGCTCACCACCACATCTCAGCCGCACCTTCAGCAGCTCTAAGCAATCAGCCATGTCCGACGCAAAGTCCTTCTACGAGCTCTCCGCGTCCCTCCCGGGCGGGAAGACGTACAAGTTCGAGGAGCTCAAGGGCAAGGTCGTCCTCATCGTCAACGTTGCATCCAAGTGGTACGTCCCCCATCCTTGCCCCCCCCTCCAACCTCCTCTTCCCTCCCTGCCTCTACTCCCGCACTCCCCGCGTCCCCACATACTAACGCGGTGCGTCTGCCCCTCAGCGGGTTCACGCCGCAGTACAAGGGCCTGCAGGCGCTGTACGACAAGCA